AGGAATGCCTTTTTTGCCAGTTCCTTTTCTATCCACTTAGGAAATTTGTGTTAGCTAAACTGTGGTTTTTGGCTTTACACACAGCTCTGGCTGCAGGAATGTTTGTGTAACAAAAACCTTTTGTCTACATCTTTTTAGTATGTAGAAAATTTTTAATTTCTTAAATTACAGTGGGAATCTATGAGAGATTGTTAAGACATGACTTGATTAAGTGTGAATTAAAACTGATCTTCCTGACATACTTCCAAACTGGGGGGACATATATATTTATTTATTTATCCAGTGATACAGGCACTGTAATAGACGGCGCTGCTTGCATCAGAAAGAGCACATATAAGAGGGCTACTCCCATCATCACACCCACCAGCACCACTCATACTACTAATATCCCTATTAATGACACTGCTAGCGCTGCTATTAATGCTGTTACCTAGGCTGCTGTTATTGCATATACCCATGACTTTGGACACACCCCCACAGCCCCCACCAAATCCAAAGGCCTCCTCTTGATTCCTTCCAATATTCACATACTGGTCAAATTCGTGCCTGTCCACCTCAGACCAAAACTCAGCAGTCCCCATATGGCTGGAGGACTCTGGGTTTGAAGGGTCTAAGTGCATGGCTGGAAGGAAGGTTGATGGAGGGATGGACGAGGATGAGCAGGAGGAAGGAGAAGTTTCAGGAGGAGGCGAAAGCTGCCCCAAGTGAGAAGAAGTGAAGTGAGGGGCATTTGGGGTACTACTCCCATACACCTGATTAAAGAAGCTGACAGGAGCAGCACTCTGGGGAGTTTGGTGGCATTTTATTGGCTCAGGGAGGCTGATGGTAGGCTGGGCATAGGAAACAGGAGATGGGGAGTTGGACAGAGGTGGCAGGCACTTTGCAGGACTCCTTAAGGTGATGTGGTGACTGGAGGAATGAGCAGGATTTAACCTGGGGCTGACTGAACTTGCCAAAACTGAAGCGACAGAGTTCATGCTCGAGGTCATACTGGACTCCACAGAACTCATTCTAGAGTCAATTCTGGAGCTTCTACCTGGACTCAAACTGGAATTCATACCAGTGCTAAAACTGACACCAGCACTCATTCCTGAACCTTGACCGTGCGGCACTGCACCATGTATGGAATTGTGGTGGTTGTAATGATGGCTGTAATGCTGGTTATGAGGATGAAGGTGGTGGTGGTACCCACTCCAACCTCCCATTCCCACCTCTTCTTGCATATGTTGGGGGAAAAACACAGATTCCCCAGCTCCATCTTCCAGAACATCTAGAGGGGACATCTCTGGAGTGGGAAGGCCATAGCTCTCCAGCTCTGGGTGTCCTGGAGCCTGAAGATCCCTGAAGTGCCCCAGAGAGGATAGCAGGTGGTGTGGGTGATGCTGGTGTGGGGGGTGGGCACCTGGCTGTCCATATGCAGGACCTCCAGAGAGACTTTTTGCATCCAAGGGGCTAGCACCACGTCCTAATCCAAGGCCTGGTGCACCGCCCTGAGCTAGGCTGTGAAGCAGAAGCCCTGGTTCAACCCGCTTGAGTTTTTTCGTGGTTTTCTTGCGACGAGGCCTGTACTTGTAGTTTGGGTGATCCTGGAGGTGCTGGACACGGAGATGTTCTGCTTCCTCCACAAATGGTCGCTTATCTGTGGCACTCAGAGCCTTCCATGACTGACCTGAAAGGTAGAATGAAGACAAAATTACAAAATAACATGCGATATTTACATTATCATAGGGCCTTGACCAAAGGTAGAAGGTTCACAAGAAAAAGACTTGTTAATGCCAGTCCTCATCAACATCTTCATCAGACAGCAGATTCTAGGGTCACAACTAACAATCATTTTCATTATCAAGTAATTTGCTGATTTTCTTAATTTATCCAGTAGTTACTTTGCCTATAAAATGTCATAAAATTGTAAACAATGCACATCCCAATTTTCTAAAGAACAATGAATTATATCCAGTCAACTGTCCAAAACCCAGAGGTGTTGGGGTTATGGAGGAAAAAACCCTAGCAAATATCCACATTTAAAGAGACAGGAACGGCCAACATTTTTGTGAAGAAATAACTTAAAGAAGATATTGACTATCAAAACTGTCTGTTGATTATTGAAGTAAAGTAAAACTTAGAGTAATCAACCTTTATGTTTGTCTACACAAAGACAAACAACATATTAAGCTTTTTAGTAACAACATGCACACACCATTACGTATGCACAGTACAGTGTATTCAATGTACTATGAGTATTAGGAGAACATTCTTTTGAGAGGGCCACATTGAATTTTTTTATCAGCTTTTATGGAATGATTGAATGAAACAGCTGTGATGTGAAAAAACTAAAATTAACATTTCATGGAGACGGCAGTGTTCACACTGAAGCTGCTGAAGCTCTCACCCTCCAAACAGCTCAAGTGACTCTCCACCTGTGAACAGCTAAAACATTGGTATAAGTTCTGTTTCTGTAATGCCTAAAACAGGAACAATAATGACACACATATCTAAATGTCCATGGGTTGTTCACACTGCTGAAATAAACATTTCAGCTTATAAGATGCCCCGCAAAGCTTAAAGTTGTAGTGACTCTAAAAGAAGCTCACACACAAGAAACTTTTTGGTTTAAATAACAATGGCTCTGAAAATCTCAAATCATAGATGAACTCCAGAAGCACAGTGAGACTGAGCAGCTGTGTGTGTATGTGAGACGGACGTTGTTCGCTGGTTAATAATGAAATGAGGACGAGCAAGTAACAGACACACAAGCCAGTAAGAGCTACTACATGTACTGTGTAATCTTTCAAATGCTCTGTTTTTCTAGCATAAATTTTTTGTGTTATAACACATTTACTACGACTTTAGGCACCCACTGATTTAACTGAAAAATATTCAGGTATAATTTGACTAATTTGACCTGCTGTTAATGTGAAGCTGACTTTTGGATTTTAATAACTTCACAGATTTTTGCTGACTGGTGCTTCATATATACCCACATACTATAAGAATGCATTGAAGTGAGTTTTCTGCTCACTGTTATATAATCATAGCAATATTAATAATACACTCTAAACCTTAACTTCTGACCCTAAATGATTGGTTCTTCATATGAGGAGCTCACATAGTTACAGTAAAATATGGTTACATAATGAGCAAATGGGTGGACAGCAGAAAAGTAATATATGCAGGAGTGGTTTGAGAAGTTTCTGAGGATATTTTTGGATTTCCCCATAGTCCTCTACAGGATAAGTGCTTTAGATAATCAATGGATGGATATTGGTTTCCCACCCTTACTTTGTAGCTGTTTGATGCTTATTTTAATGTGGCATATTCAAAATCTACTATGTGAAACTGTGCTGTTGTTCTTCACCCAATTATAATATATTACAGATGTCATGTTTCTTCTTCTTACCCACAGTAAACACTTAACAGCCCTAAACACAGTCATTTCATTAAGTTGGTAATCTGAATATGTTCACATATTCTTTCACAAAACTAACTTATTTGCTATGTGTCAGTATATACATAGGAACAGAGACCAGCTGTAAGTAGATAAGAAAGGCCAACAAACAGACTAACAACGATGTGTTTAAATGTAGGACACAAAAGTTTATATACTACACATAAACATTACGGAACCATTACTAGATCACTTTTCAGTGAAATGTAAATGATGGATTGTTGTTTTAACAGGTCTGTCAAAAGAAGGAAGTCATTTAGGTTGTGCTGTCATGTAAATATGTGTTCACACTTCTATATATGCAAAAATAAATAAATAAATACCCTGACGTGGGTCTAGTGAGTTCCAGAATTGTCTCTACAGTTAAATGTTTAAAAAGCTGTTAACCAAAACTGGATTCCATGAGCCTAGTCGCACTGAAAAGTCTTGGCTGTCTAAACCTTCAGAGGTTTTTTTTTTGCCCCAGTGAGACTAAAGTTGTGCTCTTGTCTTACCGAGCATCTTGCTGAGCACAGCGTTATGCAGGTCAGGGTTCTGCAGGGCCAGTCGCTTCCTCTCATCTTTGGCCCACACCATGAAGGCATTCATGGGCCTGCGGATCCTCTGCTCACTGCCCATGGACTTATCGTCAGCTGTGCCTCCTGCTTGGGTGAGGTCTGGGCTCTGCTCCCCTGAACTCGGCATCTGAGTAATCCTCGGTTCTGTTATCCTCATGTTCCTGGTCCCAAGGCCATCAGGAGAATTGCAATCCCCAGAGAGGCTGTGCTCAAATCCCATTTCAGAGTCAGAGGCAGGACTTGGGGTCCTGGACGCCCAGTGGCCCCCAAGAGACACCCGGTTGGGATGAACAAGAGTCTCTCCAGACAAAGTGTTCTCAGTTAAATTCATTCCAGAACAGGGCTTGAATTCAACTTTTAGTCCAAGTGAATTTCTGAAAACGTCTGTTTCACTCTGTTAGGTTGCAAAGTTCTGGAAAAAATTAGTAACTCTAAGTGTTTCAGATGGCAAAGTTCAAGAGAGGAACTGGATGGATTTGGAGCACAAGTCCCAAAGCAAAGCATCGAGATCTGAGAGGAGGGGGAAGATGAGAAAGAAGGAGAAAACAAAGTTGTGGTGCAGGATGTTCCCCCCAAAAATTATCCACACTGACTCTGCCTCTTTCTTTTCTTCACTCACTTTTTTTCTCAGAAGACAGCCCTTGTTTGGAGTGTGCGGTGAAGCGGTTAGTCCAAAACTTGATTCCCCCCGTCACTCCAGCTCTCCGACCCACTGTCTCTCTGTCTGTCTACACTGTTTGAAAGTTTTGAAACTTGTGGCCAGATTTAACCTACCCATGGTGTGTATATATACCCCACATTGACCAATCAGATAAATATATAGCTTTGGATTTAACCAATGAGACGCCAGGCAGGCACAAGGGGAAGGGAGAAGTGTGTGTGGGAGACAGAGCAAAGGAGGGGGGAGGTCCAAAAGTTGCCTCCCCCTATTTCCTCCTCCATGACCGCCACCCTTTCCTCCCTCCGAAGCTTCACACACACACACACACACACACACACACACACACACACACACACACACCGTCCTCCTGTACAGGGAGATGTAATCAGAGTGGTTCTATTGTTTCTATCCAACAGACTGGAGCGTCTCAGACACTTGCACAAATACACACATACACAGAAACTGCTGCACACACATACAGTACATAATATAATGTACAGATAGATACATATTCTAACATATGCTTGAAAAAACACAAAATCAGACAGATTTGTCAAATTCTGCACACAGAACATGACAATACATGAATATACATACACACTGTAGAGTACGTTTCTGTGTGTGCTCATTTGGGTTTGTTTGTGTGCGTGTGTGTTTGAGGTTAGGACAGAGGTAACACAGGCAGCCACAGTCCCAACCAGAGCAATTAGTGGCTGAGCTTAACAACAACTCACTGTGAGAGAGAGAGAGAGAGAGAGAGAGAGAGAGAGAGAGAGAGAGAGAGAGAGGGACTCGGGCTGGACAGGTGCTGGTTGTTGTTGCTGATGGGCTAAGGGCATCCTGTGTCCCAAAACTAGTGTCCCAGATGTTAGTGATGCAGCAGCAGCAGTCACTTATACAAGATGTTCGATGTAGTGATTAAAGAGTGAATAAGTAGAAATGATCAATCATTCACAGGGAGACTTTTCAGCTTTTCTTTTTTTTAAATCACTGTGAACTGAATATCTTTGACTTTTTTTGATTGTTGGTTGGTTAAGACAAGAACTTAGGCAAAGCCCCGTCACATCAGGTACCTTTGTGTTGCACAGGAAAAAAAAGGGAGTCACCACATTGACATGCGGTGCATTCATGTATAGGCCTGAGGTTCTGAGCATTATTCATGAGCCTCGGTGCTGTGAGGAAAATGATCATAGAGGATGCACTATAAACAAATGATCATGATGAAAAGATGGGATTTTGACCACATGGTCATCAAAATATATAAATATTGTATTATAAATACTACTGGCTGAACACAGCTGCTACTGAAATTAATTTTGAAACTGTTGCTTTAAAAGTCAAATATGATTTTCAAACTCATCCCCCAAACTAACAATCTCTGAAGATGAATATTATATGTGGTGTCTTTGTCTGTCTGCCAAGGACATGCCCCCAACCCCCTTCCATCCACCACGATATAATGACCCCTGCACGCACACACACACTTTCCTCCCCCACGCCCAGCTCCAAGGGAGACTGCTCTGGCGTCTCAGAGCCTCCTGCTCGAACAACCAGGAACTACTCCCACCGCCGCTGTCCCAGGCTCCCCACGTCTGTGTGTGTGACCGGGTGTATCTGCGACCTTCTATCTTTATGACAGTGTTTATAGTTTATCTACTGCAAGTGTGTATGCCCAAAACAGTGTTCATTTAAGTTAACAGCTGACTCTCAATCACCTACGTGTGCAGTAGCAACATTTTGGGCTGATATAAATCTATGTGCTCCTAATCTATTAGCACATATTATATTGTGATAATTTATAGAAAAAGTACTGTGTAACTGTTGCTTATAAGTGCAGTAGCTGTGCATCTGCAATCCTGAAAAACCTTTAATCATGTAATTGCAACTTCTGTGTCCAGTCATACCTTGCAGACTGCCTAGAATAATTTAATCTACTTTGATTTACAAAGGGAAGTTCAATGAGTTTATCTCCCTTCTGCATGGTTGCTCTGTGTATACAGTTCAATAAAAGCTAAATTCTTATTTAAAAAACACACACATTGCAACAAATATAAAAAATGCAGAAGTGCAGCTGAATAAAAATGTTTTAAAAGGCAAAAGCGTTAAAATGCCACTAAATTGAAAATGAACACATCTCAATACAGCAACAGCCTACTTTACGAAAATATAGATATACTCTATATTATTAAATTAAAAGAAGCCAAAGAAACCAGCAGATAATATCTGATCTTCTGGATGCTGGTCCATCTGAATGGACCAAGAAAAGAATAGCTAAAGAAATCACACATTGGCATGTGACATGTCTGGTTTTTATTGATCTGAGGCAGATGTGTTGGCAGGTGTACTTTTGATTTAGGAGAGAGAGTTACAGTGACTGTTTCCCTCTATATCAGCTGTCACTCTCCAGTTCCAGTTCTGTTCTCGGTGCAGTAAATGAGTATATTATTGAGCTGTAACTGTAAAAATGTTCCCAGATGCCTTTTGTTGCCCTAACTCCTATTGACATATTGCATGATAACATACGAACATCTGTAAATGTACTTTGCCAAAATAATTTTGCCAACGTGCTAACAAGTTAGCATATAGATTTTTTTAGAGAGGTCCTGCTTTAGGAAATAATGAAGTTAGCAACGGAAAGGGCACATCGCCTGACATCCTGGTGCTCTTCACCTTCACCTTGTCTGTTACGTTCTCAAGACGTTCATTGTCACTTAATGTGCCGTCCACAGTGTGGATGTTACGACAACTAAAAAACAGGTAATGTATGTGTGTGTATCTGTGAGAGAGAGACAGTGTTGTGGCACCACACCTTTGCCACAGAGGAAATTTGGCAGCAACTCCAGACTTTGTGGCGAGAAAGAAAAGAGAGAGAGAGAGAAAGGAGGAGGGTGGACATGGCAAGAGGGACATTTTTCCTTACAGCTTCTGATAATACAAACGCTCACACACACGCACACAAACAAATACACACCCACATTCTGAACAAGAAACCAAGACACAATGGCATCATAATGGGTGTGTTTACTAGTTTGTGTATGTGTGCGTGTGTGTTTATGTGTGGGAGAGGTCATGTTCACACACTGTTCTATTTTCAAATGCGCTGAAGGAGGGAAGTGTGTGTGATGATGGATGGAAGACGCACACACACAAACACTCTTAACATGGCTCGCTGCGGGAATCCCCCACCTCTATCACCCACTGTAACACACACACACAAAGTTGCACAAACTGCACAAAAGAAACAATAGACGCACATTAACAGATACAACCAAACACATCACTTGACCTTTAAACATTCAAGATTCAAGATTTTTTTTGCCATTTATGCATAAACAGACAGTCTAGGCATATAGGAATTCTTGTGCAGGGCTCTCCTGGAGTCAAGTAAAGGGTTTAAAACCAAAAGAACAAACACCTAGTCTAAATATAAGATCACCCAAGAATACAAAATACATAAAAGAAGAATACAAAACAGTTGATAAAATTGTGGATACAGGAATAAGATAACAGGTAAATGGGGAGTTTCAAATGTTGCACATGATATTGCACATAGTGTAACTGTACATGGTATTCTACTTAGTAAGGTAATGAGGGGTTATTGTACAGGTTTTTCATATTTTGTTTTTGCCATCAGTCTTACTGCGGCAGGGAAAAAGCTGTTGTAAAATCTAGTTCTGTGTGTGATGATACTGTTTGCCCTGCTGTGCCTGAGGTTGTGGGTGCAATTTTTGTGTCTGAGCAGAGTGTGAGCTGGGTGGCATGGATCCCTGAGTATGTTCTCTACCCTTTTATGACAGCACTGTATAGTGTCCATAGCAGGCAGTTCAGTCCCAGTGATCCTCTGCAGTCTTTATGACTCTTTGGAAAGCCTTCCTCTCTGCCTGTGTGGTGCTACCATACCAGACTGTGATGCCAGTAGTGAGGATGCTCTCTACCAGTCCTCTATAAGCCTGAGTGAGGGGGCGACGGCTCAGACCAACTTTCCTGAGCCACCTGATGAAGTATAACCGCTGCTGGGCTCACTGAGGCAGCTGTGTTCCATGTCCAGCTCAGGTCAGGTGTCACCTGCAAACCCAGGAACTTGTGGCTGTCCGCCCCCAACACTTCAGTCGCCTTGATAGTCAGAGGAAGCAGAGGGGAGGGGTTCTTCAGAATAATAATCAGGATAATCACCTTTATTTGGCCAAGTATGTTACACACAAGGAATTTGTTTCTGGTACAGAACCGAGGCAGCCATCTGCGGTGCCGACTCAACCAATGGCTCTAACCATCAGGGGCAACTTGGGGGTACAGTATCTTTCCCAAGGACACTTCGACTTCTTGTGGACTGCAGGCACCGAGATTCAAACTACGTACTCTCCGGTTGGGACTGCTCTACCCACTGAACCACAGTCGCCCCCTCCTTCCTGAAGACTATTATTATTTCTTTAGTCTGGTTTATATCGAGGCTGAAGTCATTCTCCTCTCCATAAAAAAGAATGTCGTTCAACGGGTTTCTGTAGCCTGACCGGTTCCCCCCTTGATGAGGCCCAGGATCGTGGTGTCATCAGCATATTTAATTTAATGGTGGTGTTGTCCTGGTTGGAGACATAGTTGTGAGTGTACGGGGTGAAGAGTTGGGGGCTGAGACAGCAGCCCTGCAATGAGCCTGTGCTGATTGTAAGCTCAGCAGACACCTACCTGTAGACGCCCCTTATTCTGAACACCTGTGGTCTTTCTGTCAGGAATTCAAAAATCCAGTTACAGGTGGGAGTCGGGACACCGTGGTCTGTCAGCTTCACAATCAGCTGCCTGGGTGAATTCTATTGAATGCAGAACTGTAGTCCAGGAAGAGCATCCTAATGTACATTCCACTGTTGTTCAGGCTCTCCTGTACTCCCCTTGGTCCCCTGACTTGAAAGCTTCCCGCCTTTTCCTGATTTTCGTATTTATGTCTGTAACCCACTTCAGGGTATGTACACGCTCTAGGTTCTTTAGCACAATGAATTTTTAGTGAAAAGTATATGAAAAACAGTATACCATATAACAATAAACAAAATTAAATGGGCCCCTTTTTAACAAAAATAAATAGTCCTTTAAATGGATG